CAACGTGTGAGCGGCTAATGCTATGTACAACGACAACACGCAGACCTGCCCTTCGGCCAAACTCCGGCGGCAACTCCGTTCGGCAGGGGCCAGGTCTTCTTGGCCTGCCGGCGGCGACGGTCCCCCATTTCCATCTTTAGGGGTGGTTGCCAGGATTTGCCGTAGGCGTTTCGTTCTCTAGGAGTGAACCTTAACATACCCTGAAAATTTCAAGTCTCTATCGAATCTACTTCTAGTGGAACAGACAGACAGACACACAGACAGACACGAGGTCGTTTGCATAAGCCCAGTGGATAGATTTTTCAGAGCAGAAGGGAGGGCTAGAAACGACAATATAAGACAGTGAGTTAAGAACCATCCATCCGGCACCTGAAAATATCTGATTTCTAAGTAAGATTTGAAGGTAAAGATTTCTAACCGAAAATACAATCTGATGCGTGTATAAATCCTTGAACATTGATGCGGTATCAAATACACTAGTCGTTTTAGCGCTAATCGTACAAAAAAATGTACTTTTGACCGCTATTTTTGGAGTGTAGTCCACTGTGATCGCCTCCCGCTCATGGTTGGGGCACATTCAGAGACCACCATCGACAAAGTCATACACAATCACACACAATCTGAAACAATGATTGTGTAGACACAATCATGTGTACACTTTTTTGACCAGCTCCCTACCTTAGCCGTAAAATCCGTGTACTTGGTCGCATCATGTCGTTATTAAACTTTATTTTTGTGTTACAGTACTTCGATGGCATTTGGATGGCTACAGACACCCATCGCATCGGAGCATATCTGGCAGCGAGAAACGAGACTGTGTATCTCTTTCGATTTGGAGTCCGATCTGTACTCAACCAACCATTTTCTATTGACCCTGTACCAGAAGATGAAAAAAATGGTTAGTAATTCCATACTTCAAAATTTTGTTCGTACAATCTTAAAATAATCCAAAAGTATCGGTGTTTCTCGTGTTTGTATAAAATGGGGGCTCGGAGACACTTAGCTGCAATGCTGATTTATTACACGAACCGTGAGAAGCAATAGCAAGGCATTTGTTTCTTTAGACAAGAAACAGTGACAATAGAGTGCTGACAACTCGTGCCAACTTGGTATAGCACTAGCTATATGTACGCCAGACCACGTTTCGCGTAACAGGCTTCGCGATGTCTCAAGAAACACTGTTACGCTGCGACGCGCCTAGCGCACATATAGCTAGGCGTGCGGTGCTGACACCCGAGTCAAGTTAACAGGAGTGTAAACGGAAAAAGGGTCCTTCGGCCCCCAAATATGCCATGCTTACGGCATTTGTGGGGGACTTATTACTGTAAAATTAGAGAAATGAAACTTCTGGTATTCGATAAAGATTTTCATTAAAGGTTCCAATTTTGACAGATTGTTATAAAATCGGCGCGTTGAGCTTTACCTAGAGTTTTACGATTTTTGTTTGTTCTCCTGCTGTTGAATCTGTTAACATCAATCATTTGTCGAGGTCAAAAGTCGTCACACTGCCGCTTCTAATTACTGGGTACTGAGAACTAAAAATGACATAGGATAAAGTTGAACCAACTTTCTAACTGGTACTGGCGCGTTTTAGTCATAGTGGATAATCTAGGGCATCTAGACCCTAACAGATAGTGTAGTTTGGCGCGAAATGTATAGTAAAAGTACTAATCCCTTTTCAATTTTTCGATATGAAGCCTTTTTTACGATTTAATCGACCATTAGGTCATTTGCACCATATTTTCGTTAAGAAATGATCTCTTGCACCCAAACGGTACAAGATAGAGCAAAACGGGCAAAATTTTCCCCCTATGGACTTTACTTTTAAGAGTTACCCCTTACAAACCCTTAAAAAATATTCGATAAAAAATACATTTTGCAACCTGTGGTTTTTGATTTTTTCAAAGTCAATTTTTGAGCTAGAACGCTTATCTTCGAACTTCGTTTTGTTTTCTAGGAGTAAACCTTAAGATTCCCAGAAAATTTGAAGTCTCTAGCACATCTCCTTCTAGTGAAACAGACAAACACACAGATAGACAGACAGACACGAGGTCGTTTGCATAAGCCCGCTACATGCCGCTACATAGCTTTTCTAAAGCAGAAGGGCGGGCTAAACAAAACGTTGGAATACGTGTTGCAGCCAGTAGTCGCTGAGCTTTATTCGTAAGTGTGCCAAAGTTCTCAGATGAAACGTTCAAAAGAACACAGTATTGTACCGATGGAAGGCCAGTAAAGAACAGGAGGATTGGGGGGAAGGTTGAGGGGGGGGGGGGGGGCACTGAAATTATTTGAAAATAGCGGAAAATAAAAGATGGCACTCAAAATCGAAATGGTAAAGTTGTTGGCATAGTCCATTTTGTATTTTCCGTTTTTATGTACCAGTTAGAAAGTTTGGTTCAACTTTTTCCTATGTCATTTGTAGTTCTCAGTACCCAGTAATTAGAAGCGGCAGTGTGACGACTTTTGACCTCAACAAATGATTGATGTTAACAGATTCAACAACAGGAGAACAAACAAAAATCGTAAAACTCTAGGTAAAGCTCAGCCAGTAACACTTAACCTTAATAGAAAAAATAATTACATAGCATAAAAGATGCTTGCCCGCAAACACAAATAAAACATGAAAGAAAGGAATGCCACAACGTCAAACACAGTAAAAGTAATACACATGAAAAATTAGGGCCACAAAAGGTTACGACATAAACGTTGAGCACTATGAGCGAGTTGGTCGCTTCTCTCTTCTGATAAAGCTATTCTGTAAGCCCAAAAGAAGCGCTTTAAAATGTGTTGTACAATTTTCGGGCCGTAACGTACGCTAAACTATGAAACCTGAGCCTCACAGTCCGAATTATTCAAGTGAAAAGAGCAGGGCCCAACAATTGCAACTTTTTTGAAAGGCAATTCGAAATTTGAAATTTTAAAGAGAAAACGTCGTTCTTCAATTGTGCCCTCGAAACTTATGTGCGTTTATCTTGTTACAGCTGCACAACATGGAGACGATTTACCATACGCCTGGCTCTTTCGGATACACTCTGAGAGCAGTCTCAGTGAAGAGGCTGCTTTAGCTCGGCGAAGAGTAGTTGCAATGTGGACCAACTTCATTAAATACGGGTGCGTTAAAAATCAGTAGACACAGCAGTATGCGGACTTTCGGAATCGCTCCACCCGGAAGGCATAATAGCCCCAAGGGCATAGGGTGTGCAAACTAGTTTCGTATTCCGATGACAAACGCTCCACAAGCTGTGACGGATGTAACCCGTCCCATAACGTGCCACCACATGCCTTTATAATGCGGCAACGCGCTCATTACACTGCTATTATGGGGATAAAAATGTGCATGAAAGGGAAGCAAACGTAGTAAATAATGGTTTGCAATTCGGCTCCCTATGGAAGCAATCATTTTAACTAGATATATCCCATAATACATAATACATATATTACCTTCGAGGCTAAACTCGCCCGTGCTTGTACGGCTACATCACGCAATATTTCGTGATAATACACGTTATAACGTGACAGTACATTGAGAGAAAAGTTCGGGCCGTACACCCAAAATTTTTTACAAAATTGAAAGAAAAGTACTATCCAAACTTTTACATGCGTGGTCACCAAAGGTTCTGGAGCAGAGTCCAAAAGTTCTGGTGCAGAGTCTAAAGGTTTCGGTGTGACACCGAAACTGATTAGGTGTACAGGTAAACGGAACAATCCAAACTCAGTTTTGTTGTCTGGCCGGAACTTTTCTCTCCGTGTAGGGTATTCCGACTAAGCTTGGCGCCGAAAACGGGAGGCGAAGATGGCGTTGGTCCGATCTTAGCCTCATGGCTTCTGTATCCGTGCGTCTGCGGTCCATTGCTCTGTCGCCTCTGTCAGCGACGACATCTTGCTTCAGATTACTATGATTACGTGTAATTTTCCCCGCGAAAGTATTTTAAATGATATTCTGCTTCTAAAACTCAAGATTGAAATCCACACCATTACGTAACCTAACGCAACCGCGCTGTTGACAAGAGACGAGCGGATCTCGAAGCCACGAGGCTGACAAGGGGACTTAGGCAAGTATAACTTTCCGATCTTGGGCAAACTATTATATTTATATAGTAGTATTTTTGTTTCCTATCTATGTTGATGACGACTGACGGTAGAGTTTTTTCCTACTTTAAGGGGGTAAATAATAGAAAAAATATTGAATATGTGCTAAAAAAGACGGAAGGAGGTCTAAAATCGAAAAGTGTCAGAAGAACTCCCCCCCCCCCCTCTTTCCCAAAACCACCCATTTTGAGTCAGAATGTCACTCAATATTTGTACAAAAGTAGAAATTGGTTTTTTGTTTTGGAAATTACACGCTTTTATAGGGACTCTCGGCATGGGACACTCAGGAAAAAAAATTGGTCGGCATTCGTCACCTACATAGAGAAGAAGCAAATATACCGAGTTTGGGCACGATCGGGAATTTACACTTGCCTAAGTCCCCTTTGAGATTCGACCAGCGCTATCCTCGACTCTCGTTTCCGGCGCTTGGCTTGTCCGGAATATCCTATTGTACAGACTGTTTCGCGGGTGGTATCTCGAAATAGTTTCTGCCTGCGCAATGCAATCCCATTTTCGAAAAGAATATCTCATGTCTCGAAAAATTCCGCATGAAGCAGGCTTACACAGTTCTGATGAAACTGCTACCAAGTAAAACTGAAGTCAAATAGTACATAAAATTCAATGTATGTCTTTTTAGCCAGCCCTTCTGCTTTTAAAAAAGCATTAAAGCGGGCTTATGCAACCGTTCTCGTGTCCGTCCGTCCGTCCGTCCGTCTGTCTGTCCGTCCGTCTGTCCGTCGTCCGTGTAAGAGGAAGGAGATGAGCTAGAGGTCTGCAAATTTCAGGGTATCTTAGGGGTCACTCCTGGACAACGAAACGCCTGGTGCAAATCCTGGCAACCACCCCTAGGGGGGTGAAAGAGGGTTACAAAGAAATAGGGGTTGGTCCAAAAAGTAGAAAATCAATTTATTTTATGGTCCCTTAAGGGATAACTCGTGAAAGTAGAAACCTTATGGCTAAAATTTCGTCCGTTTGCCTCTATCTTGCACCGTTTGGGCGCTAGAGTGTTTTTTTCGATTGAAATACGGCGAAAATGACCACGTTGCACATAAAGACGTACAAGGAGGCCCTTTCGACAATAATTCCTATCCCGAAGACCGACAGAGTAAGAGCTAATTCCTTTAAATTTTCACCCGTAGGGCCGTAAAATTGCGTGTTCAGTCAAGACAAAACTACTTCGCAAAAAGTAGAGGTTTTTAAAGCGAGTCAGAATAAAAGCCGAGGTTGGATCACCCAAACGTTCAATGAAAAATATAATAAATATTACAGCAGTTTTCATCTTAAATGGCACTAGGGAAGCACTATTACAACCCGAGAATAAAAAAAAAGCGATATACGATTTACCCTAGTAGGCTTGCTCCCAGCTGAACCAAGTTGACATTGGAGCGAAGCGACGCTATGGCAACTTGGTTCGGCGGAAGAGTGGGCCTAGCGTTTCTCACGTCGCTTCTCTTTAATTTAACTTGTAGCAAGATGGGAAGAGCCAACAAGTGTCACCAATTGGGACATGCTTTCTATAACTGAGACTGTGACATCTGTTATTATATATATTTATCCTTGAAGTGGAAGGGTATAGCAAGCAAGAAGCCCGGTTGGATCATGTGAATTAATTTTTGATTTCTGCTTACAGAAAACCGACCCCAGTGAAAACCGATCTCCTTCCTGTCGACTGGCTTCCGAACTCACAGACAAATCTAGAAGTCACTTTCCTGGATATCTCAGGGAACCTGAAACTTCGCTCAGAATCTTTGGCAGGGGAAATGGTGTCATTTTGGAACGGTTTATACAACGAGTATCGGTCAAATGTTGCGGTTTCTACCCATACCAATTCCGTTTAAACGTACCATTTATCTTAATTGATCGTCACTTCAAAAGTTTTATGAATAAACAAGTTATTCTACATCGCCTTCTTTGAAAAAAAAAAAAAATACAATTCTACCTAATTGTGGAAGACAACGGAGGTAGGATTTAGTAAATTTTGACAGTAAACAAAGGTACTTTCTATTTTTTATAGTAGTTAATGAAATTTGAATACAAAACACTACAGAAAATTATATTTTTTTGAGATATGTTTAGTATAATTTTGTCTCATGAAATTTGAGAAGACGAGCACTGTTAAAAACAAGCAGGCCCGCCCTTCCGTCAAACGAAGTTGCCAGCTCCGCTTCGCTCCGCCGGGCCACCCGCGGCTCGTCCGGCCGAGGGATGCGGCTCACGGCGAGCCGTACCTCTGGTGCGTTCGGGTCGTGCCGGACCCGTCGGAAGCCGCGCGCGGCTCCGCCGAGCCTGGCGGCGGGAAACTTTCGAAGTGGGTGTTTCAAAATGATACCAGAGACATAATTTACATCACGTTCGAGTTCGCAATTTTCCGACAGCAGGCTGCTGAGCGCACTCCTCAGTGCAGCTCTACACGGCTCGGTCAAGCGGCGAGAAGCGGCAGGAAAGCCGAGCCCTCGCCAGGTGTAGTGGTAGCAGAGTATTGCGGGTGGCCCACCCTACAGCGGCTTGGCGTATAGGTCGAACACTGTAAAAAAAATCCATCTTAATTTTAAGAACACGTGTTTGGAAGCAATTTACAAAACAAATTTGCTCTTAAATTTAAGAACAAATGTTTTATGAAAATTAAGAACATGTTTTGAAAATTAAGAACGTGTTATGAAACGACAAAAATGCTTTACTGTTCCAGCCTAACGCAAAACTGGAAAATTTTTAGTTCTTGTTCCTACGGACAGATGTTCAAACCCGACTTTGTACACATTATAGTTATTTACCTTAACTTACCTGGGTGGATTCGAACCTCGGACCTTTGGGTTCGGATCCTGACGCCTTAGACCACGCGGCTGTCGGGACATACCTGTCAAATTAATTTGAGACCCCTGATCTACACTATAAATGTTAAGGACAGTTTTTTACTCCATAAACTTGCAACAAAATAAGGGAGGGTGGGGCAGTGAGTAACAGACCTTTGGATTACAAAAGTGGCACGTCCAGAACCAAATGTGAATGTTTATATCATGTCTTCTGAATGCCTAAGGTCATTTGTAATCAATAAATCCGTGGTTGAGGAGGTGTAAAGGCGGCGAAAGGGCGGCTAAGTCATGCTAACCCGGTTTGCAGGCAATTTTCAACATATTAGGACAGAATCTTTTTTCGGTTGAGCTCGTTGGGTTACAAACTAACCCCCAACTAATTATTATCTATCGAAGTATACCCCTTAGCCCGTGGAAAGTCGTCGTTGTCACTAACTTAACCTCGAAGGTTCTCGGCCTACGAGGCCACAAAACGGGCTGTGTACCTTTGGGCAGTGTGTGACATGAACGTCTGGGGTAGTCTAAGGCTGCGTGTATGAAAACGAACCGTCCTAATTGCATATATCAACGATATTGCTATGCTATAACAGTCTAACTGAAGCACAATTGTTGGTACACAGTTCAAATTCACAAAATATATCCAAAATAGGTACCAATTTGGTGTTTTCAATTAAAATTAAAGAAAATCCATTAAAAATCACGAATTTTGTTGCAAAAACTGCTATTCTATCGGCAGCTGTTATAGAGAGCAAGGGGAAGCTGTTCTCTCCATTTCTATCTGTCCCCAGAACTCAATCCTTCCCCCTGTTACACACTGCACCACTGTCATTACACACTGCCCCGAGACTGTCTGTCGGTCTGTCTGCACGATAACTCGAGAAGGAATAAAGTATTCCGGTCAAGCTGAAATGCTGAAGAATAGAGGGAACAAGAAAACATAAGTCACCATAGTGAAGCATAGCTATTTCCGTTTTATTCTTTCCCGCATTCTTCTGCATTTCATCTTTACCGGAATGCTTTATTGAGAGAGCGATCTGGGAATTTCAGGGTAGTTGAGTATCCTAAAAGGACAGATCGAGTTCGAAGATAAGCATTCTAGCTCAAAAATTGACTTAAAAAATCAAAACCACAGGTTGCAAAATGTATATATCAAAAGTGCCAACAACGGAGCGTGGGTGTACGGTAGGGTCAAGGAAAAATTTCGGGGGTGTAGTGGACGGATTAAACATAATGCCCCTTAGGTCGAAAATGGAAATAAATACATTTTTGTACACAAAAATGTATAACAAAAAACAGTGTTCATTGGCCCAGAAGTCGACACCTCTGGCCCAGTAGTCAACATTGCCTGGCCCAGTAGTCGACACACAGTCATTTTACCCGTATTGCCAAGTCTGACAGGTCCCTGCAGCCTGGCTAGCCTGCCTATGCCTCTCGGTCGTCTTTTTGGCCATCAGGGTGTCCTTCTTAGCCCTCTTTGCTAGGTGCTGTTCGGCTTTTTCGGCCTCCAGGCGACCTTTTTTGAAATATGGTGAAAAACGATTTTTTCTAGCAAAAAAAAAACGTCGTTCTTTGGCTACATATCGGAAAACAATTTTCACAGCGCAATTAGTCTAAAATGAAACAGTTCTGCACACTTAATAATGTATAGGACGACACGATGTGACACACAACAAGCAGGCCCGCCCTTCCGCCAAACGAAGTTGCCAGCTTCGCTTCGCTGCGCCGGCAACTCCGTTCGGCAGGGGCCAGGCCTGCTTGGCCTGCCGGCGGCGATGGTCGGGCCTGCGGTCCGACCATTTCTGTCACGCGATTTGCTGTAGAACATAATCAAATGATGTAACGGGCCTTCGGCTCTACCACTCTCTAGCCACAGGGCTCTACTTTGACGAGTTACCCCTTTGGAGCTCTGACTTTTTAGCCCGCCCTTCTGCTTTTAAAAAAGCATTAAAGCGGGCTTATGCAACCGCTCTCGTGTCCGTCCGTCTGTCCGTCGTCCGTGTAAGAGGAAGGAGATGAGCTAGAGGTCTGCAAATTTCAGGGTATCTTAGGGGTCACTCCTGGACAACGAACCGCCTGGTGCAAATCCTGGCAACCACCCCTAAGGGGGTGAAAGGGGGTAACAAAGAAATAGGGGTTGGTCCAAAAAGCAGAAAATCAAATTTTTTATATGGTCCTATAAGGGGTAACTCGTGGGAGTAGAGCCCTACGGGCTAAAAATTTTTTCCGTTTCACTCTATCTTGCACCGTTTGGGCGCTAGAGTGCTTTTTTCGACGAAAATACGGCGAAAATGACCACGTTGCACTTAAAGACGTACAAGGAGGCGTCCAATCGTAAAATGTCAGAGGGAGTACCCCCCCAAAACAACACATTCTGAATCAGAAACTACCCTCGGATTTGCCGTATCTTTCACTGTTTTGGCCTTAGAGGTGGATATATTGAAAACAATGGCAAAAAGTCAAGTTTTAAGACTGTTTGACAAACAACAATATACAATCTGCGCGTGATCTTTTTTTTAATTCTTAAGCACAGCAGAAGGGTGGGGTGTAGTCACGGTGTTGCCCCGTTACAGTCTTGTCCAAGGAGCAAATTTCTAGGGCCGCAGGCCCCCCACCGGACACGTTAGTTTACTCAAATATGCAAAGTGATTTTCCGGTCACATTATTTATTTGATTATGCACTTCGGTAAATCGCGAGACTGAAATGGGCGGGCCGAAGGCCCGACCATCGCCACCAGCAGGCCAAGCAGGCCCGGCCCCTGCCGAACGGAGTTGCCGGCGCAGCGAAGTGGAGCTGGCAACTCCGTTTGGCGGAAGGGCGGGCCTGCGGGCCTGCTTGTTTAACCTACCCCCTTTTCTTTGAAACCCCCTTTCAGCTCCTTAGGGTTGGTTGCCAGGTTTGCCGTAGGCGTTTCGTTTTCTAGGAGTGAACCTTAAGATACCCTGAAAATTTGAAGTCTCTAGCACATCTCCTACTAGTGGAACAGACAGACACACAGACAGACAGACACACAGCCACGAGGTCGTTTGCATAAGCCCGCTGGATAGCTTTTTCAAAGCAGAAGGGCGGGCTAAAAACCAGGGAGGGGAGTGCCGGCAATAGCTTGCTAATTAAACCTTAGTCAACTAAAATGTCTTGTGGGCAAGCTGAAGACGTTATCGCACAGCGTATCGACTCCTGAGTTATCTCCTTATATAAATTCCACACCGAACCACATATAGCCGTTCCCGGGATTATGCCTACGGGAGCCCAGGGGGGGTGAAAAGTGTCAATTTCCCTCAATGACCCAACTTCGAACCCTTAGAGAGGGGTTGAAGGTCAGACATTGAACCAGAATGGACTGTTTCGCAAGTCTTGGGATATCTTGAAGTACTTTATTCCAGGTATACTTGTTCAATCCCAGGTTTTCACTCCACCATAGCGGCCAGCCGCTCGGACTGCGGCGGTGAAATTGGGGTTCCACCCCTTCCTCGACCCTTGTGTCTGTTAACACTTCTCTCAAGCAACCAGGGCACATTCCCAGAGAAATGCTTTACAAAAATGGGGCACTGAACGCAAACTATCATTCGGCACAGTATTGACACCTAGTGCTTTACTGATGTCATTTACTAAACTGTATAGTAATTTTTACCAGACTGCACGTTTACTAGGCTATGCCTGGGGTCCGGCAGCGGTGGCATCACACTCGTTACGCACGCCTCTCTCCTAAGGTAGTCACCGTAGCCGAGTGGTCTAGGGTGCGGACTTCCAAGGCAAAAGTCCGCGGTTCGAAACTCGGTCAGGGCTTCGAAATTTCGTGGGTTTACGAGTACCCGTTGTAACCGTAGTAACAGGCAGACATCTTCTATATTGCATTCGTATATTTTTTGAACACTTTTTGGAAAGAAAATGTGTGGTATCAGTAACTAGACATCTGGTAAATTTTACTAGGCTTTGTGTTACTAGCCTGTCTGGTATCTTTTACTAGATTCCTAATTGGTTCCTATTTTACTAGACTGTCTGGTACCTAGTACTTAGATCCTAGTAACTGCTACTAGTATTTTTTTTTCAGTGAATCTTCAAAAAACCTTGATTGCATGGTCCTGACATGAA